TTGAATTTAGGAGCACAAACACAAATATAAAAATAAGTTAACTAATACAATATTAAAATTGTAAAGTGAAAGATAATATACATTAAAATTTCTTTTTTTAATCAACAATTAATTTGAAATACAACATAAATCCTACCTAAATATTCGAGTGAGTGTGTACATGGATGATAAGAGGAAATACCAAACAATTCTTTAAACAATTTCCTAATTTTATATGGGAGAAATTGGATCAAATCTGTGTATGTATTCAATGGCGCCGTTTTGTAGCAGCCACCTGTAATTGTTAATCTAATGACAGCCTAGAATTTTCCTTATTTAATATTTGTTTTTTTGAGTAATAATAAATATTTTTTTTAAAGTATATACTATATTGAAATATGAAGAGGATAATTAAGGGTTCAAATAATAATGAAAAATCCAGCTGGAAATAACATGGTGACAATCATAGTCTAGCTGTATTGGGGAACCTCAGGTGGACCTTATTTTCTCGCCAATATCTCATCAAATTATCGCCATTTTGTCGTCACAATAAGATGAATAAAATAGAATCAAAATAATGAAAATACAAGACATGTTGCATGTCATCAATTTAGCATTTAAAAATAAAACAAAATCAAATTATATATTTGTCACCGTTTTTTCTACATTATTTTTTTCTGTTTTTCTCCAAAAATATTTTCATAACATCCTAATCACTATATATATATATATATATATATATATATATATATATATATATATATATATATATATATATATATATATATATATATATATATATATATATAATTGTCATAGGGCCACACATAATTCTCACATGTGTCCACATCGTCATTGCATTGTCCGTCTCAAGAAAAAAGATATTTGGGCAACTCTATAAAACTATAATGGTATTTCCGTAATTATATATTTTAAATATTTTCTCTCTTTTAATTTCTAACTATAATTTTTAACAATTATCAAAATTAAAACTAACCTTTGAAGAATATTACCTTATTGATACTTATGTAATTATTTAAAAAAAAACTAATGTTATATAAAATATGAATAATACTATATTATTAAATTTTACTATATTAGTATATTAGTGTACTATATTTTCTTATTATGTATTAAAATTGATTATTTTTTCACTATTTAAATAATATCCCGTGCATCACACCCCCGAGGTATGCTAAAATAAATTTAAGATGCTAGTATTCATAATTCAAAACAACAATATTATTTTCCAATATTGATAGTTTTCTTATGTTTTTTAATTAAAAAAATATTCAGTAAAAATAGAAATATTATTTAGGGGTAAATTAAACCTACACCCCCGAGGTATGCTAAAATAAATTTAAGATCCCTATATTATCGGTAATTACAATCACCCCCGAAACATTGTTATGAACCCTAACAGAATAGTGCATTGGATAAGTTATTCCGTTAGAATTCTAACGGACTAGTAGTTTCAGGTAGTGGTAGAGTCAACATAGAGATAAGGGTGACATGACTCTTCTAAAATTTCTCAAATCTTTATTATTTCATATATGATTTACAAATTTTCATATATGGTAACAGTAAAAGCCCCTCGAGAAACATAATAGTGCATATCGTTCATCAGGACATGAAATCTTGGCTCCGGTAATTATTTTAGGGGTGCGACTGTAATTATCAATACGATATGGACCTTAAAGTTATTTTTAGCATGTCTTCGGGCGTGTATATATAATTTACCCTATTATTTAATGTTTTTAAATTGGAGGGTGTATTCTGTAATTTCACCTAACATCGAGGTGGTAGATGTAGTTCATCCTATTTCAATTCAAGGAATACATCCGATAAATCCAAGGGTATCATATCGTGGCGATATATTGACGAGAAGGATAAATTGAACTTCCTTGCCAACAAAAAAAGAGAAAAACATATTCATATAGTTTTCACAACAGAGAATACAAAACAAACAAGAAACAGTTCTCAGTTGAGCCGACACTCAATTTTCAGATTTCTTCTTCTTCCCAAATCACAATTCTAAATCAAGAAACAAAATTTATTATTCATAGCGTAAAATGGATCCGTGCCCGTTTGTTCGTTTGATCGTCGAATCATTAGCCCTGAAACTCCCCGCCGCCGCCGCCAAGCCCGCCGCCGGTTCAGGGATCCACCCTTCCACCACCCCATGCTACGCCAAGCTCAAGATAAAGAACTTCCCTTCACAAACAGCCCTCCTCCCACTCTGCATCGCCGGCGGCGACCCACCGGAATCATCCCCCTCCTCCGCCACGTTCCACCACGACCCCGACGCCCTCCGCCGCATCTCCTCCAAACCCGCCACCACCATCAAACTCTCCGTCTTCACCGGCCGCATGGGCCGGACTTGCGGCGTCTCGAGCGGGAAGCTTCTCGGCTCGGTTCAGGTTTGCGTGAATCTAGGCAATCTCCAGACGAGGGGGTGCGTTTATCAAAACGGTTGGGTGAAACTTGACGGCGGCGCCGCTGGCACCGAGCCGGCGGCGAGGTTGCACTTGACCGTCCGGTCTGAACCGGATCCCCGGTTCGTGTTCCAGTTCGGGGGCGAACCGGAGTGCAGTCCGGTGGTTTTCCAGATTCAGGGGAATATAAGGCAGCCGGTTTTCAGCTGCAAGTTCAACGCCGACAGGAGTAATAGGTCCCGGTAAGTAAATCCATCTATCATGCACCTCATGCGGCGCATTTTTATCTAATGATTTCTCATCATGTGCTAACGTACGCCACGGGTGGTGGAGTTTTTGGTCCCATAGCCACTAATTACCCTTCATAATTGGTTTATTTATTTTCATTAATTTATTATCAAAAAAAAAAAGCGTACTTCATAATTTGTTATTCATTTTACCCACTGGAGGTCCAGTCAGTGCAGCTTCTTTTTCATGATTTTT